CTTCCTTCCTTCCTTCCTTCCTTCCTTCCTTCCTTCCTTCCTTCCTTTCTTCCTTCCTTCCTTTTTTCTTCCTTCCTTCCTTTCTTTCTTAAATGTTTCCATTTTAAGATTTTTTCTTTAAGATTTTTAAAGATTTCTGTACTTTTCCCCCAATATATGATTTTATTTTCCCCCAATTACATGTTAAAACAATTTTTTAAACATTTTTTTAAAAAATTTTGAGTTTCAAATTCTAACCCTCCCTCCCTCCCTTCCTCCCTCCTTGAGATGGTAAGCAATCAGATATAGGTTATATACATGTGCAATCATACAAAGCATTTCCATATTGGTCATTTTGTACAAGAAGACCCGAATAAAAGAATTAATGAAAGAAAGTGAAAATAGCATGCTTCAGTCTGTATTCAGACAATATCAGTTCTTTCTCTGGAGGTGGATAGCATGCTTCATCATGAGTCCTTTGGGATTGTCTTGGATCATTGTGTTGCTGAGAATAGCTAAGTCATTCAGAGTTCTTCATCATATAATATTGCCGTTACCATTTATAACTCCTGTCTAGCTAGAGAAATGAGGCCTGGGAAACAGAATGGGATAAATGATCAGTCAAGAGCCAATTGTGCTTCTTTTATGTCAAATTTCTTCTTATTCTCCTTCCTTTTTGAATTCTCATTCATCGGGTCTCTTAATGGGCCAGTCCCAACCTCTTCGAAAGGAAAAAGCATAAAATCAGAATTCATCTCCTTCTCGTCCTGTTTGGAGGCTTCTTTCACTGCTGTAGAACAGGGTTGGGGAAGCTTATAAAGGAACCAGAGACTACATATTTGTTTTGGCTGATTTTAATAAGACTACTTCTGAGGCAAAAAAGTCTCTTCTGTTGTTACACTTCAAAACAGTATAGAATCTGTCATTTGGCTCATCTTTCTTGAGTGCCACCATGATAATGTCTGAAACATAGAAATCATGTCCTTTTCACATTACACTTTTGGCAAATACATAGTCTCCGACCTGTAGAACGAGACAGGGCATAACACCTCCCACGGGATAATGAATACAGTGGGTACAGTTTGAGACTCTCCACATTTGAACTACACAAGTGTACATGTGGGGCCAACACACCTCCCTCCAATGCCTGGAAAATAGAATCCGTTTTCCCTCTGATCTTGTAATAACCTTCTGGTCTTTGAGAGGATCCATTCTTTTGCTTCTGAATGTCTTCCCTTGGTTTTAATATGATTTCCTCCTCCATACAGTGGGAGTTGATGGGCTGTTTGTGCAGTTGGTGATAAGTACAGAGGGTCTCTTCTCTAAATGGTGTGTTGCCATAGATGATGACCTCCGTGGATGAATTGGAAGATGTGATGGTTCCAAGGATGACTTGGAAGACATGATGGTTCCATCGAAGGCTTTGGAAGATACTTGGGTTCTGTGGATGACTTGGAAGATGTGACGGCTTAGAGGCTGCTACTAATGGTAAGGATTTGGGGTGTGTTTTCCCTTCCTTGGCAGTTGGGTGGCAGTTTGTGGTTGGAGTGGGAAGGTTGGTAGGCTCCTTCTCCACAGGAGATGATTCCTTGGGTGCTGGTGGGGTCTGGGCTGAAGGTGGAGATACTCGCTTGAGGATCACTGCTGTTTCTAGGGCTCTTGGCTTTCCTTCTCATCCATGAAAGTTGATCGGCAGTTGACATCAATATCAGGCCTCGTGTCCACAGGGGACACTTCTCTGGATGATAGTTGTGGGGCCTGTGCTGGAAGATGAGCTAGTGGTTTGAAGGGCTCTGCTGTTCTCTGGGACCTTCCATGGTGGTTTTCTGGCAGTTGGCATTGATGGCAGGTTCCATCTCCTCAGAAGCAGGTGGTCTGGGGTGTTGTGCTGTTTCTAGTACTCATGGGCTTACCTGCCTTTCCAAGGCAGCTGGTTGATAATTGATGGTGTCGACTGTGATGGTGTTGGCAGGTATACCCTTCCTCAATTGTCCTTCTACTATAGTTATTTGTGGACGTGATGTCTCCAGGGAGACAGCCTAGGTATTCTCTTTGACTCCTCACCCCCTCTTACCCCCCCCACCAAATCAATGGCCAAGTCCTGTTGTTTCAACCTTTCTTTTTTGTCATTATATACATTTCTTTCTCTTCTCTGACCCCACCACCACCCAGTGCGCTCATCACCTCACACCTGGGCTATTGCCATAGCCTGCTGGTCTGCCTCCCTGCCTGAAGTCTCTCCCACTCCAGTTCATTGTCATTAACCTCATCTTCATCCTCATCCTCTTCATTATCATCACCATCATCATCATAGATAGCATTTATATCACACTTTAGGGTTTGCAAAGTGGTTTAAAAATATTTCATTTGATTCTTTTTTATGGATGTGAGGAGAATTTCTTTATTTTGTTTTTTTCCCACTTAATAGTATTTTATTTTTTCCAATTACATGTAAAGATAGTTTTCAGAATTCGCTTTTATAAGATTTTGAGTTCCAAATTTTTTTCTCCCTCCCCCCTCCCCAAGATGGCATGCAATCTGATATAGGTTACACATGTACAATCATATTAAACGTATTTCCACATTAGTCATGTTGTGAAAAAAGAATCAGAACAAAAGGGGGAAACCATGAGAAAGAAAAAACAAAAAAAATGAAAATAGTGTGCTTCAATCTGCATTCAGACTCCATAGTTCTTTCTCTGAGTATGGATAGCATTTTCCATCAGGAGTCTTTTGGAATCGTCTTAGATCATTGTGCTGCTGAGAAGAGCTAAGTTTATCTGTTAGTCATCCCACAATGTGGCTGTTACTGTGCATGATGTTCTCCTGGTTCTGCTCACTTTGCATTTGATTCTCACAATTATTTTATGAAGTAGGTGTTATTATTAGCCACATTTTACAGATAAGGAAACTGAGGCAGACAAAAGTATAAGTGACTTGCCCAAGGTCACACAGCTAGTAGGTGTCTGAGGCCCAATTTGAACTCAGGGCCTTCCGACTTCAGGGCTGGTGCTCTATCCACTGCAGCACCACCTAGCTCTCCTCCCCCCTCCTTAACCCTAGTTCCTTCTTTCTGAGTCTACTCTTAATTTGCTCTCCCATCTATATCTACAAACAAGGGGGGGGGGGGGCAACTAGGTGGCCCAGTGGATAGAGCACCGGCCCTGGATTCAGGAGGACCTGAGTTCAAATCCAGTCTCAGACCAAACACTTGACACTTACTAGCTGTGTGACCCTGGGCAAGTCACTTAACCCCATTGCCTAACCAAAAAAAAAAAAAAAAAGTAAAACAAAACAAAAAACAAAAAACAGGAGTTTGTATAGAGTTGTTTAGACCTTGTCTTTCTCATTAGCTTATGGAGTCCTCAAGCACAGGGATTGGTTTTTGTTGTTGTTATGTTGTGGTTTTGTTTTGTTTTGTTTTGTTTTGGTTGCGGGGGCTTTCTTTGTATTCCCAGCACTTAGCACAGTGTCTGGCATATAGTAGGCACTTAATAAATGCTTGCTAATCAACTGTGCCTCCATCTTGGACAGAGGCCAAGACAAGCCAATCTTCATTCCTCTCCTAGCTCTACTTCTGGATTTCCAGGCTTCACAGGATGCCCCCAGTGGATAGCCCTCCCCTTTCCAGCTTCCTTGTATCTGTTGTCTTCCCCCCTTAGAGAATAAGGAAAAGAGAATAAGCATTTAGATAGCGCCTGCTGTGTGCTGGGCACTTTACAAATCTCAATTGATCCTCACAACAATCCTTTGAGGGTAGGAGCTATTATTAGCCCCATTTTAAACTGAAGCACACAGAGGTTAAATGACTTGTCCAGGGTCACACAACTGTTGTTGTTTGTCTTTCCTTGTCAAAGAGGATGCAGGACATCAGAAGGGTGGTGGATATCTTGACTTGCTGGTGAAGTGGATTTAAGTGAGGCAGAGCAGGGCAAAGTCACCAGCCTCACTCTCTCCTCCGGGGTCATCTGGGCCGTTGGTAAGACATAGATCAGGATGACTGTCAACGGCCCCGGATGCAATGGGAGATGTTAGTAAATGTCTGAAGTCAGATCTGAACCCAGTTCTTCCGGACTCAGGCCCAGTGCTGTATCCGCTGTGTCATCCAGCTGCCCATAAAACATATGCCCTCTGTGAGCAGGGATTGTCTTTCTTTTTGCTCATATTTGTATCCCCAGGGTATAGCACAGGGCTCAGCAAACAGTAAGTACTTAATAAATGCTTGTTGCAGGACAGATAGAAGTGGGGTCTGACTTGTTCTGCTTGATACCAGAGCTGGGGGTAATTGCAAAGGTAGATTTAGGCTTGTCCTCAGCAAAAATAAACAAACCAAAAAAACCCCCTCAAACTTCGGAATGTTCAGACTGGGCCACAGGCAGGTGGGGTGGGGGTGTTCCTCATCCCTCTAGGGGTGGACGAGCCAGAGAGTGGCCGAGCACTGGCTGGGGACATTTGAATATGGGTCAGACTGGCCAGCCTCCAGGGCCTCTTCCACCTCTGTCAAGGGTGGGCATCCCCTTTGCTCCGGCCTTGCCCTCCCTGTGGGCATCTGGTCTCTCCTCCAGAATCTCCCTGCCTTCTTCCCTAGCTCCCTTCTCTTGGGCCTCTCTAGCCCTACAGCCACACTGGCCTTGGCACCTAAGGTGCCCTGTTCCTCCTTCCCAGGCACTGAGCCCAATCAGATCTTCCAGAACGGCCTCCGGGACTCTGCAGCTGCAGGGGGGTGGGGAGAGTAGGTGGTGGGTGAGCAGGGGGAAGCCTGGGGGAGGACTATAAGAGCAGGAGCTCTGGTTTGAGGAGGGCTCCACCATCACCCTCTTCTGACCCTGTGCCCAGGCCATGTCCCACCTGCTGTCCCTGTTCCTGCTCCTGCTCCTGCCGGCCCGGGGATGCTCCAGGGAGGAACCCCAGAAACTCTGTGCCCACGACTTCATCCGGGCCCTCGTCCGGGTCTGTGGCGGCCCCCGCTGGGCCCCCCCTGAGGAAAGGCAGGGCATCAGTGGTGACCGTGAGTCCTTGGGACAGGGGGAGGGTGGGAAACAGGTCCCCAGTTTCCCTTAGCTCGTGTGTCTGGGTGTGTGGGTGTCACCGAGTCCATTGATGAATGTGCCTCCAGTCTGTTTCCATCTATGTCTGTTTCTTCATCTGTCAATCTGCAAGTCTTTACTAGGTCCCCTGAGCTGGAGGACAGGAGGTGAGTACTGTGGGATAATGGAAAGAGGGTCTGATTTGGACTTCCACAATCTGGGTTCACTTCCCAACATCTGGTTCAGGGCTTCATAACCCCTTTTTGTGCCCCAGACCCCTCTGACAGTCTGTCAAAGCCTAGGGACCCCTTCTCAGAATCGTGGTTAAATGCTAATTGAGGAGAATGCCAAGTTTCAGTTACAGGTTAGTGAAAATAAAAATGCAATTTTCCCCCATCCAAGTTCACTAACTCTTCTGGAATCCAGCCAGATCTGTGAACCCCAAATTAAGAATGCCTGATGTAGTCCAATGCCTTCATTTTAATGAGGAGTAAACTGAGCCCTGCCCCACCAACATTTGCCCAAGATTACACAGGTTATGGCAGGTCTGAGATTCAAACCCAGGTCTTTGGACCCCAAATCCAGTGCTCGTTCCAGGAAACCAAGCAAGGAAGGTCTCTCTGTTATCCCTGAGCCTCAGTGTTGTGCCTTCAAATCTCAACACTGTCCCTTACAATTGCTTCTGGTAACCCCTCCCTCCCACCCCTGAGAAAATGGCAAAGATTGTGTGTGTGTGTGTGTGTGTGTGTGTGTGTGTGTGTGTGTGTGCGTGCGCGCGCATGCTTGGAGGAGGGCAGGAAGCACAGGAGCTCAGTAAAGGAGGTAGTAAATATTTTATTAGCCCTGTAGAACAGAATGAGGGCTGTAGATAACAGCTAGCTGGGGAGTCAGGAAGATCAGAGTTCAAATGTGACCTCAGACACTTAATAGCTGCGTGACCCAGGACAAGTCACTTAGCCTTTTTCTGTTTCAGTTTACGCATCTATAAAAAAGGGGGATAATAGCAGCACCTACCTCCCCGGGTTGTTGTGAGAACCAAATGAAATATTTATAATGTGCTTTATAAACCTTAAAGGGTTAAGTAAATGCTGACTATTATCATTGATAATAATTATCTGTATTAGTAACAATCTTATTTGCAAATAAATTCATAAAATAATTGATAATAAAACTTTACTTATAATAATGGATAATATAGTGTTTAGAAGGACCTTAGAGGTCATTCAGTCTAACTTCTTCATTTTATGGAAGAAACTGAGGCCCCAAAAGGTGACTAGGTTACTCAAGCTCACACAGGTAGTGTCAAAGGCAGGATTTGAATCCAGAACCAATGTTCTTTCCTATCACACTGTATCACACTGTAGTGTGTTTCATACTGAATTTCAGAGAGGTTGAGCAATTTGCCTGTGGTTGCAAAGCCAGTAGGCATTCAAGGTATTCATGTGCTTCTGCGTCCAGAGTGATAAGCCTGAGATGGGGCGGGGGAGGGTGCTGAATGGGGGGACCAGGGGAATGTGCAGCCGACACATTTTGCTGACTTCCCTGGGGTTGGTCTTGTCTGGTACCTCCTTCCCACCCCTCCCTCAGGAGAAATACTTCAGTTACTTCAAAACAGACCCTTCCCAGGAATGGCACCAGACGCCAACACGGAGGAGAACTTGGACGTGGGACTGATGCTGAGGCCTGGCCTGGTTGCAGATGCAGGGGGACTGGAGCCCCACTCTGGCATCTACAGAGCCCATCGCTGGAGAAGAGCCCCCAGCCCAGCCAAACACTGTTGTAACGACGGCTGCACCAAACAAGATCTGCTAGCTTTCTGCCCCCATTAGTTTCCCCAGAAAGGAAAACTGAGGCAGAAAGGTCCACTGACTTCTCCAAGTACTCCCAAGAAGATCAAAGGAACAGAGTCTGGGGTCTAGCCCGGGCTGTGTGGTGCCTTAGCTCTGAACTCAGTCTCCTGGGGTTTGGGTTCAAGCCTGTGGCCTTCAGTGGTCCCCAGATCTCCCTGCAGCAATTGGAGGCTTGACTAGAAAGTCTGTAGTTTCTGGGGGAGGGAAAGAGAACCAGGCAAGGTTATTACCTCCGCTAACCCTGAGCTCCAATGTTGTGACTTCAAATATCCTCACTTTGTCTTCTGTATTTGTCCCGGGTGGGGGGGGAAACCCTAAGAAACTAGCAAAGGGTAATGTTTGTCTGTGGTGCGTTGAGGGATGGGGTGGAGACCTTGGCTGAAGTCACTCCCCATGGGGACCAGTGGGTGGTTGTTGCCCCTAGGAGTCCAAGGAGAAGAAGAATTTTTAAAGTGGTTTTCTTCTAATCACCCCGGGATGGAGATTATGGAAAAGACATTTCCCCCAACTTGCAGATAAGGCTACTGAAAAGAAGTGGAAAAAATCCGGATCACAAATGGCAGTCAGTAGAGACCATCTGTCTTTTTACAGATAAGGAAAGTAGGTCTCAAGAAGAAATCATAAGCTAGTCTCAGCAGTCTGCTGAGTCCAGATTGGCTTCTTTTTCCTATGTTCCGTTGTCTTTGTGGACTTCAGGGCCTCTGTGCACGGCTAAGGCCTCCATGACCCAGAAATCCATTGCCCTCCAGCACTTAGGTGGCATGCTGGGTAGAGGTAGAGGGCTAGTCAGGAAGACCCAAGTTCAAATCCATATACGACCCTGAGCAAGTCACGTTGTCTGCCTCAGTTTCTTCAACTATAAAGTGGGGATAATAACAGCACCTACCATCCAGGGTTACTGTGAGGATCAAAGGAGATATTTGGAAAGTGCTTAGCACTCGTGCCTGCTGCATAGTAGGTGCTTAATAAATGTTGGTTTCCTTCTCGTCTGTCTGCCTTCTCCACATTGCCGCACTCCCTACTCCTCTAGCATCAACTCCCAATTCAGCTTAGATCGAGGAAGAGGGGGACACTAGGCACAGAAAGGTGGGAAGGGAAACCCAGAAACCCAGAGGGGCAGGAAAGTTGGAGTCCAGCTACTAATCCATCTCAGTACATCTCCAACAGCTTCCCTTGGAGGCTTCTTGGAAATGGGGCCAAGGTCACACTCAGAGACCACGGATGGGGAGAGGCACAGGTGCAGGGCTTTCAATAATTTTTTATTGGGGAAGGAGGAGTAAACCAGGCCCTGACATTGTTTCACCCCCTCCCAGCCACTCCCAAGAAGTTAGTGGGATTCAGTGGAAAGTCCCCTGGGCTTGAATTTAAGTCCTAGGGACTTACTGTTGCTGTTTGTTGAGTCTGACTCCCCATGACCCCACTTGGGTTTTTCCTAGCAAAGATATTGGTGTGGTTTGCCATTTCCTTCTCCAGATCATTTTACAGATAAGGAAACTGAGGTTAGTAGATTAAGTGACTTGCCCAGGGTCACAGAGCTAGTTAAGTGTCTGAGTTCAGATTTGAACTCCTGACTCCAGGACCAGTGCTCTGTCCACTGGGCCACCTAGGGCAACGGCTTCCTCAATCTGGCCCTGTTTTATCTGTATCATCTGTAAAATGAGGAGGTTGTATTAGATTAGGTTGTAAATTCTTTGACAAGAGCAGGGGCTGTGTTGACTCTTTCTGTAGCCCCCAGGCTCGGCACAATGCCTGGTGCATGGCAGGAGCTTAATAAATGTCTTTTGCCTGATTAGATGGCATCTGAGATTACTTCTACCTCTGACAGCTGGAAACACCAAATCCCTCTGGGAAGTTCCCGATACTGCTCCATCCTCTCGGCTCGGCTCCAATCCCAGATGCATCCTGCCGGGACAATGAGGAAGTCGGTGCTCCGGCTTTATAGTGAAGAGATCAAGGATTGAGAGCTGGCAGGGGCCGTCTGCTCAGACCTCCCTCATTTCACAAATGATGAGAATTTCTAGGCCGGGGAAGTTAAGTCGTTTGTCCAACGTCACACAGTAATAAGCCGCAGCGGCAAGATTTTAACCGGGGTCCCGCAGCTCTGGAGGTGTGCTTTTTTTCCCACTGTCCTATGCTGCCTCCTATGTATTGGGCCATGCTGTGTGGATACAGAGCCTCCCTTGACCTCAGGCAAGTAGCTTCCCATCAGAGACTGTGCGCTTCCTTGGAAATGAGGACTCTTGGTTAGAAAGGGGCTCCTCCTCCCTTCTCTGGGGCAGGTTAGGGTTCTGCCTAATGCCCCGAGGAAGAGCTAGGGCACATGAGGGACCCAGAGGGAAACCCAGAGGATCACAGGGTTTAGACCTAAAAAAGCCTCTATTGTACATTTAGTCCAAACTTACCCATTTTGCAGATGGGAAAACAAACTTTGAGAAGGGAGAGACTGCCTCATGGTGGGATAGTGGAAGAATACTGGATTAAGAGTGAGAGGACCTGGGTTTGCTCCAGGCCCTGCTAATTTACTACCTGTATGAGTTCAGCCTGATTATTTGCTAGTTAGATACTACAGTGGGTAGAGAGCTGGATCTGGAGTCAGGAAGACCTGAGTTCAAATCTGGCCTCTAGACCCTTACTAGCTGTGTGACCCTGGGCAAGTCACTAATTGTGACTCAGTTTCCCCATCTGTAAAATGGGGATAATAGTAGCACCAACTACTACCTACAACACAAGATAATGTTTTAAAGGATTTAAAAAATTTTAAGTGGGGTTTAAAGGAGCCTGACATATCTGATACACTTAAGAAATTCTTGATCTTTCCTTCATTTGACCTCCTACAACCCACGTTCTCTAGGAGCCTGACATATCTGATACACTTAAGAAATTCTTGATCTTTCCTTCATTTGACCTCCTACAACCCACATTCTCTAGGAAGGGGTTGGATTCAACGGCTTTTGAGCTCTTTTCCCCCTTTAGACATATGATCCCATGACCTTGGGTAAATGACGCTCTCAGCCTTCCCTTAAAATGAAGGCGTTGAAACAGATAACCTCAAAGTTCCCGTTTTTAGATTAGTCATCGTACAACTGGTCCAAAGTCGTATCAAACAGTCGCTGATAAAAATAGGCCTTGAAGTCGGGTCTTCTCACACCAAATCTGCTGTTCCAGTCTACCCCACATTCAGGGCCAGCAGCTAATCCATCTTGGTTTAAACACCCCGAGGCCTAAATCAGAAGGTGTCCTCCCAACCCGGCCCTTTCCTAACTTTTCAATTTTCTTACACTTTACCCCTCTCCACTTACTCTACAGTCTTTTCTTGAAAACAACCCTGCATCTCCTATCTCCGTGCATTTGCCTTGGCTGTGCCCCATGCCTGGAATGCCCTCCCCTCCTCACTTCTGCTTCTTAGTTCCCCTGGCTTCTTTTAAGACTTTGCTCAGGGGGGCAGCTAGGTGGCGCAGTGGATAGAGCACAGGCCCTGAAGTCAGGAGGACTTGAGTTCAAATCCAGCCTCAGACCAAACACTTGACACTTACTAGCTGTGTGACCCTGGGCAAGTCACTTAACCCCAATTGCCTAAAAATTAAAAAAAAAAGACTTTGCTCAGAACCTACCTTATGCAAGAGGCCTTTCTCAGTGTCCCCTGCCTGCCCCCACCTGCTAGTGCTTCCCCTTCCCATGTTGCCTTCCAGCCTGTATCTCTTGTGTACCTAGTGATTTATGTCTTATCCCCTATTAGACTGTGAGCTCCTTGAGGGCAGGGATGAATTTTTTCTTTCTTTGTATCCCCAACACTTAGCACCATGTTTAGCACTCAGTAAGTGCTTAATAAATGTTAGGTGACTGACCTGAAAGAGGACTGGGGGTAGCGGCACTTGCAGCTCAGGGTTGGGGGCAGGGAATAGCAGCATTCTAAGGATGGAGTCAAAATTCCCTAGGGATTTAGGTCAGGGAAGAAAGAAGAAAGGTACTTCATATCCATCTCCACTCCGGACCCCTCAGCAGACCCCGCAGGAAAACACCTCCCACCCCAAATTACGGGATTATGGGAGAAGACGATACTGGTCCTGCAGAGCTTGCCCTGTGTGCTCCCACTCTTTCCCCAACTCCTCAGCTTTCAGAGGTAAGACAGGGGACTGGTCACAGAGACCACTCCTGATCCCACCCCTTGAGAGAGTCAGGCAGAAGCTACATGCAGCCTTTTGGGGGGAGCTAGGGGGCACAGTGGCTAGAGAGCTGGACCTAGAGTCAAGAAGACCTGAGTTCAAATCTGGCCTCAGATACTTACTAGCTGTGTGATCCTGGGCAAGTCACTTAACTGCTGCCTGCCTCAGTTTCCTCAACTGTAAAATGGGGATAATAATAGCATTTACTTCCCAAGGTTGTTGTGAGAATCACGTGAGATAATATTTGTAACTGGCTTAGTACAATGTCTGGCACAAAGTAGATATACGTCCCTCCTTCCTTCCTTCCTTTCTTCCTTTTAGGGGGCAGAGCACGGAGAAAACCCACTTCCCTCATTCAAGCTAATAATCTTCGCCTTTGCTGCTCTCCCTCAAACTGTGCCTCTGTGCCCGGGTCCCAGCTGTCATCTCATCTCATCCTCACAAGGCAGGGCAGGGACTCTTCTTCCCATTTTGCCAGTTGAGGAAACTGAGGTAGGGTATAGGGGACCCAGCCAAGGTCATTCTAGTTGGGGGTACCACAGAGACTTGATGTTCCCTCTCTCCCCCAGTGAAAACTTGCTTTTCTCTAGCTTACAAAATGTAACAGCCCTGTGAGGTGGACAGTGTTGGGTGCTCTCCCCAGTTTTATAAAGGAAAAAGCTGAGGTTCCGACTAGGGGAAGTGACTTGGTTAAGGTCACACAGCTGGCTTTGAAGTTACTTGTCCTGGCTTCTGCTCTTCTGAGTGTCACATGCTGGGTCAGTCTCTTTAGGGGTCTCTCACTCAGTCTGATCATCTGGTCCTGTGGACCAACCCTCAGTTACTTGGGTTGTATAATACTGACTTTACTACATTCCAGATCTGAATTCTTGAGGGCGTCCCACATTAGTAGCATCTCATAGGGCAAGAAACGATGGACCAGGAGCAGGTCTTGGTAGAAGCAGGGGTTAAAGGACCCTATTCGGGGTGACGGTGGTTGGATACCCGCTACCCTTATTCCCATGTGTGTGGCTGGTGCCAGCCCTTCACGCTCCAGGCACATGCCCAGATAGACATCGTCGATCGGGAAGAGAGGTATCACGTGGGAGGCACGCCGGATGGCTCCAGTGGTGAATTGAGACATCAGGATCCCACCACCTCCGCAATAGGGAGGGTACTTATTTTCCTTCATCACCAGCTCTGGCACAAAATACTTGCTCCATGGCACACGGATGGGCCCCACGTTTCTGATGACATAGCCTACAAACAGGTGCTTGTCTGCTTTATTATCCTGCAGATACACCACCATGTTGTCCGTGTGGGCGAAAATATCATCGTCGCCATTGAAGATAAAGGAAGCATCAGGGCACTGGACAGCCCGCCACTCCAGAAACAGCACCTGCCATAAGAAAGAGAGCAAGAGGTAGAACGGGGAGCCCTCCTGTGGGCTCGGTACTCACCTGCTCACAGTCTCTCAGGCTCTCCATGCTCCATGATGCATCTTCCCATTCCTAACTTCACCAGTTCCTAATAGCAGCCCTCTGAGTGAGGCAGGAGAAGGATTCTCTTTCCATTTTGCCAGCAGGGAAACCGGGGTCTGGAGAGGACTAACAAGTCTACCTGGGAATCTGAGGGTTTCGAAGCTCGGTGGGACTTTTGAGATCATCTAGCCTAGAATTTTCCAAACTCATTTGGTATTAGAACATCTTGGTGCTTGAAATACCCTGATGGGACCACCCATGCTAAGCTAGAGAGCGAGAGGCTGGGAGCATGATCCTTCTGATAAGGTAGGGGACGAATGCTGGAGAAATACAGAAATTCAGTGGAGCTTGATACTGAAAATTATAATAAGTAATTTTGAATCATTTCCCCTCTGTGTATTTCATTTTCTCATCTATAGTATAGTAGAATTGGGGGCAGCTATGTGGTGCACTGGATAGAGCACCAGCCCTGGAGTCAGGAAGACCCAAGTTCAAATCTGGCCTCAGACACTTACTATCCGTGTGACCTTGGGCAAGTCACCTAACCCCTATTGCCTACGAAAAAAAAGTATAGTATATTGACATTGGATCTGGAGATAGAAAGCCTGGGCTCAGATCCCTCCACAGATGCTGACTAGCTAGGATAAGTCACTTAACTTCTCAGAGCCTCAGCTTTCTAGCCTATAAAATGGGAATAAAAATCCTCACCCAAGGTTTAAAGTATTGCAGAATTGTAAGTTATTATGCTAAATGGTCTCTAATTGAACACAGAATGTCAGAGATGGGAGAACAATAGATCAAAAAATATTTTTCAAGCCCCTATTACTTGCCAGGTGCTATGCTTGGCACTGGAGACCAAAGTCAAAAGTGAGACTCCTTACCCTCAAGGACCTTACATTCCCCTGGGGAGGGGGATAAGGATGTTCACAGAGAAGTAAATATAGGATAAATGCAAAATAAATACAAAGTGATGGGAGGGGAGAAGAGAGCTCTTGAAGGAGGTGGCACTGAAAATGGAATCGCAATGTCCTGAGGTCCCTCCCTACTGATGTCCTGTACCCCCACCTCTGACAACCTACATGCTAAGATCCCTCAAGCTCTAAGACCCTGGGCTCAGGGGTCCTACGACTTCATGATTCTGGGAATTGGCTGTTAGACATTTTAGAAAGGTCTCAAGACTAACCCAGCCCCTAGTCACTAGGGCTCAGAGACAGCTAATGTGAGAAGCACTGCCCTAGTCCTACACTCTCATTTCAGAGGGCATATCAAAGACCAGAGGGACCATGACTTGCCCAAGGTCACACAGCAAATTGGAGACAAGTAGATTCAGGACTGCAGCCCGGGGTTCTCCCCTGCCTTCACCACACTGCCAAGAGGAAGAGATTGCTATTATCAATAGAAAAGACCGATACTAACTGGGGATGTCACGGAGGAGTTGGAGAGAGAGACTTCAGGCCATGGGATGGTCCAGGTTTCGGGGATGCTTCCAGTGAAAAATAGAGCAAGTCCAGATGGTGGAGTCTGAGACTGGAGAACAGTGAGGTACCTGTCATCTCCCTCCCCTCAGTCTGCCACTCACCTGCTTCAGGGTCAGATTGAAGAAAGTGTCGTGGAAATCCCACTGGAGAATATCACCATGGGCCTGGGCCTCCATGGCCAGGAGCCAGTTCACTTTTCGAGCTTCCAGGCCGTTAGGCTCAGTGCCTACCAAGAAGAGTCGGCGGATGGTGGCCCCATTGACCTCTCTCTCCTGCCCCCATGTCCGACGAATGAGATCCCGCCTCTCATAGTTCTTAGGCGAGGACTTGATGGCCAGCAAGAGGAAGACGGGGCCCAAACCCCCAGGGGACCCCGTACACTTATTTGGGGGGGCATTCTGAAGGATCAGGAAATCCCGGCAATGTTTGTAAAGGAGGAAGTCCTGGATGTGCCTGGGCTGGGCTGAGAAGCCAGACATGTTGGCCACAGAGGCATTGGCGAAGCAGGGAACCAGAAGACGTTGAGGGAGGGCTGGGGGTTGGGTCTCTGGGACCCTCTGCTGTTGCTGGGGCTCCAGAACTATTTGGTGTTGGGGCTCAGACATCCCCAAATCTTGCCAATGAGTCTCATAGAAGAGCTCAGAGGAATGGTCTTGGAAGAGGAAAATTAGGACCCCGACAGCTAAGGCCAGCAGGATCAATGCCTGGGAGCATCTTTTCTTCAGCCGAGGCATTATTTCCTGCGACACAAGAGAGAAGGAGGACAGGCCCAGTGAGAGAAAACCTTAGGCTTAGGGGAAGAATGTGTGCCCTGAACTTATGTGGTGCCTTGGGCAAGTCACTTCTTTCTGGGCCTTGGTTTCCTCATCTGTAAAATGAGGAGGCTGGATAAATGATCTGTTAATTTCAAATACAACATCCTGTTTCCCAATTCTGACATCCTATAGTCTAAGGGCCCTCCCAGCTCTGACATCCTGTGGTCTAAGGGCCCTCCCAGCTCTGACATCCTGTGGTCTAAGGGTCCTCCCAGCTCTAAGGTTCTAAAGGCACTCCTGAACCTGGCGTTCTGTGCCCTGAGGTGCTTTCCAGATCTCATATTCTATGGTCTAAGGGTCCTCTCAAGCTCTATTAACTTGAAATTAGGGGGAAATTAATGTAAAAAGGTAGCAACAAAAATTTATTTAAAATAATAAAACCAGAACTTGAAATTAGCTTCCCCATAACTTTCCCCCATTGCCTCTAGTTCTGTTCCTCTTGGGTAAAAAAGCATAAGTCAGCTATCTCTGTCCTTTGATGGCCCTTTGGATATGAGGGGTTTTTTTTCATTCATTTTATTTTCCAATCCAAATTCTGCCCCCCCCCCACACACACTCCTTTCATACTCATTGAGAAGGCAAGAAAAACAAAACATCACAAAAATTTAGTCAGGTAAGACAAATCCCCACATTAACCATTGCTTAAAAAAAAAAGAAAGAGAAAGGAGAGGAGAGAGAGAGAAAGAAGGAAGAAAGGAAAAGAGAAAGAAAGGAGAGAGAGAAAGAGAGGAAGAAAGGAAAGAAGAGAGAGGAGGAAGGGAGGGAGGGAAGGAGGAAAGAAAAAAAAAAGACTTCAGTCTGCTGTCTGAGTCTATGTCAGCTCTCTATTTGGAGGTGGGCCGCAGGCTTCGGCCTGAGTCCTTTGGAATCGTAGTGGGTCATTGTGCTGATTAGAGTTCCTAAGTCTTTCAAAGTTGATTATCTTTCTCTTTAATCTTATAAATAGTAACAATTGTTAATAATAATAATATTTATAATACTGCTGTTATTCTTTAAACTGTTCTTCCGTTCCCTTTAGATATCTGAAAACATCTGGGCTTGGAGTCAGATGATCTCCGATGGAATTCCCAGCTCAGTCACTTAACCGCATGACCCACCTTGGGCAAGTCTCTACCTCTGTGAGCCTTGGGCTCTTCATCCACAAAATTAAGGTGCTGGATTACTAGAATAAGAGTCCTGTGATCCTATGATCTCCCACGCCCCCCCACCCCACCCCCACCCCCCAGCTTTCTCTTCTCCCAGGGCAAACATTCTCAGTTCCTTCCATGGAACCTATTGCCACAAACCTGGTCTTCAGCCTTCCTCATCATCTTGGCTGTCCTCTGCCCCTGCTTACCTTTGTTGTTGTTCCTCTGGAAATACAGCCCCTAAATTAGACGGTATTTTTCAGCTGTTTCTGCCTAGGGTAGAAACCAGCAGGATAGCTTTCTTCTCTCATTCTGGAAGCTCTATTTCTCTTAACTCAGCCTGAAGTTAACATCTTTATGGGAACACGAGCGAGGTCCACCTATCCTATCAGCTCATGTAACATTGTGGCCAACACCCCCATGTTCTTTATCACACGAATTTCTTAGATAGCTGCCATCTTGTACTTGTGTGCCTGGATTTCAGAACACAAGTACTCACTCTCAAAGGAAAAGCCAGTTCCCCCAGAGTTTGCTGGGGACATTTGTGCCCCATGCCACTGGAGGACCATGAGGGGAGATTCAGGGAAGGTTGCCATAGGGTGGGTAATAAAAACACACCCTCTGGGGAGGTAGCAAGCACACCCCTCCAATCAGATGTCAGCCCCCTGCAGCAAAGGTCCATTCCTCCCCTGCTAGTTATAGCTCCAGTTCCGCTTCTCTGGTCCCCATGCACTTCCAGTCTTTTGTACAACATTACATCACTGCATTATAACACTGCTCACTGCTTCATGTACCTTCTTGGGGACACAAAGCAGATCTTTTCCCTATTCCATCTGCCCTATTTCTACCACACCCATCCAGCGCACAACGAATGCTTCTTAACTTGATTAAATGGTTCCACAGTCATTTCAAGTATGTGAGAACTCACTCCACCCACTGCATGAGGAGCAAAACCCTTTTATGGTCTTAAAGATTTGCAGATATGCTGACTTATGGTTCAGTCATTTTCACTGGGGTCAGACACTTGGTGACCCAATTTGCAGTCTTCTTGGTAAAGATACTAGAGCGGTTTGTCATTTCCTTCAACAGCTCATTTGACAGATGAACTGGGATCTTCCTAACTCCAGGCCCTGTGCTCTATCCACTGTACCACCTAGATGTCCAAGCTGACTTGATCACCTAGTCGGTGGCAGAGGTAGGGTCTGAATCTGGGTTTTGACTCCAAGTTGAACAGCTATCTCCTGTCCCATTATGCTGCCTTGTCTAGTATAGAAGAGAATGTCAGAGCTAGTAGACATCTGAGAGCTCACTAAATCCAATCCCAACTCCTAGGCACACCACGCATCCTAGGTATCATGTCTAAATGAACTTTGAGGTGCTTACCAGCTCTGATAGGGAAGGGCTGAAATCCACTTTTATTGTCGTTCAGTTGTCTCAGTCCTGTCAACACTTCCGTGACCCCATTTGGGGTTTTCTTGACAAAGATACTGGAGTGATTTGCCATTTCCTTCTCCAGATCATTTTTTTTTTACAGATGAGAAAACAGAGTTAAGGCCTTCTGGACCCCAGGCCTGGTGCTCAATCCACTGCACCACCTACCTGCCCTTGCTCAAGTGCACAGGAAGCTTTTACTTTTCTTTGATGTTTTCCACAACAAAGTTAAAGACCAAGTCAAATCAACAAGCCAATAAGCATTTACTGGAAGCTCCTCCTAGTGCTGGGCTCAGCTAAGCCCTGGGGCTACAAAGATAGATGGAACACAGTCCCTGCCCTCAAGGAGCATCTAGTCTAATGGAGGAGATAACATACAAATGAGATATAGACCTGATAAATTGGAGATAATCAGTCGGAGCAGGTGCCAGTATTAAGGGGATTGGGAAAGAGTTCCTGTAGTTGTAAAAATAGTAAAAGAAGCCAGGTTATCTTCACTCCAGGACAACGACCCCGTTGCTTCAAAAAACCAAACCCCAAACAGACATGAGGAAGGGGAGAGGGAGGAAGAAAGAATCTGACAGGTACAAAAATGATCTGAAGGAAGTGGTCGCAGAGAGAGGGAGTGGGAGAAATTATACCCTCTCAGCTGCTTGTCCTCCGAGGCATAAAATAGACTGACAAGTATTGTTAGATGAGATTATCCAATAAAGGTGAGAGGAAGAGGAAGAGTCAGGCAGGCTGGTGGCACCCTGATGAGCCACAGCACAAAAGAACAATCTGTCAACCCCCTGACAATAGCAGAGAGTTCTGTTTTCTTCCTGGGACGGGCACCCAAGCCATGACAGAACCTCCCAAGGCTTGTGAAAATAACTACCACAAAAGGGAGGCCTCTGGACATAATTCCCTGGGATTAAAATCTTCCAGGGCAGGGGTGGGGAACCTGAGGCCTTGAGGTCACATGTGGCCTTCTAGATCCTTAAGTGCGGCCTTTGATTCGATTAAAAGGCCGCACTTAAGGATCTAGAAGGCCACATGTGCGTCAACCCAAGAGAAGTAGGACACTGTCAGAATGGAAAATAGAAGACTCAAAAGGGGAAAAAGTCCAGCAAAGAGGAAGAACAAGAATTGTCTGGAGAGATTAATGTGGATGCAGGGAGGGCTCACTACCTGACTTTGATTTTTTTTTTTTTTTTTTTGACTAGGCAATGGGGTTAAGTGACTTGCCCAGGGTCACACAGCTAGTTAAGCATCAAGTGTCTGAAGCGCATTTGAACTCAGGTCCTCCTGACTCTAGGGGCGGTGCCCTATCCACTGTGCCACCTAGTTGCCCCTTGACTTTCATTTTTGAAAGATGTATAGAAGATGGAAACAAGGTCAGCTAGCCTCTGCTTCCTCTCCTTCTCACCCCTCCATCCTTTACAAACCGACTGTTGACCCATCTTCCTGAGTTCAAATCTGCCCTCAGACACTTAGTAGCTGTGTGACCCTGGGCAAGTCACTTAACCCCGTTTGCCTCAGTTTCCTCACCTGTCAAATGAGCTGGAGAAGGAGATGACAAACCACTCCATTATCTCAGCTACGAAAACCCCAAATGGGGTTTGACATTGTTGACCCCTAATATACCTAGAGTGCTTTACAAACCTTTGATCACTATATAAATGCTAGCTATTACTATAGTTGTTGATATTATGGTCCTATATACTCTTTCTAGGTTTTCATGACAACGCTCTTTCTTGGTTATCTACATATCCAACGATTCTTTGCTGAACACCATCCAAATCTTACTTTCAGTTGTGGGTGTGGCCTAAAACTCTCGTCTCCATTTTGCTTCAGGCTTTCTACTCTTTTCCTAGGTGATCTCCCCAACTCCCACCATTTAATTGTCTCTATGCAGATGACTCCCAGATATTCCTAACCAGTCTCAGTCTCTCTCTTACGCTCCAATTCCCCACTTCATCTTGTTAAATAATTCCAACCAGCTGTCCATAGACGACTCAAGTTGAAGTATCCAAACATGGACTCATTATCTTTCACCCTGTGGTTGGAGTGGCATCTGTTTTAGATAGGCTGGACTGGTCCTGTAAGAGGGTGCAGAGGCCATTTGGCTTCCTTGCCACCAGCCGCATAAAGTCCAACCTCTACGGAGTTGGTGTGGAAGCTTTTACCAGCATTCCTTCCAGACTGAGTATAGTTAGTTGCCATGGAGAATGCAAAGACAGAAGGGAATAGCCCTCTTTAGGTGAATTAATATCTTTTTAACCTTGGGAATTTTATCCTTTCACCCGTCACCAGTAAAGTTGTTTTTACTGCATTTTATGGTCCAGAAATGCTTTGTTATATTTTAAACCTGGTTCAGAATATTTGGCACAGTTGACAGGGCTGTTTGCAATGGCTTCATGTTAAATTCATATTTTTTTTAAATAGGGTGGAGGGTGGAGAGGAGGAAGATATGGAACAAATAGTCTCAGATGATTTGCTGACCAGATACAGCAGTGTGGCGTCCTGTGACCACAATGCTTTCTGAGGTATGCTGGGAACCTTCTCAGTGGGATAATGACGAGCTCCCATTCTTCTTGTAGGAAATTGTGCAAAGGGTGTTTAAAGAATTTGAGAGGGAAAATGAAAACAGAAAAGTCAAGTACTCTGTGACAGCTTTCAAAAAGTTGGATCACCAACCAAAGGAAAATGAAAATAAATTGTCCTTGAATATTAAGCAATTAAAGTCCAAGGCAAAACACCTTTTAATCTTTGCAAATTGTGCCTTGAAGGTGGGGCTGGGTAGGGGTGGGGCTATGGTACAGCTAATAGATCTAGTAATAACACCATTGGAACGAGCAATGATAATTGGGATTACTAGACTAGAGGTGGAAGTATGAGCTCTGACCCAGAAGTTTCTCTGGAGGAGGTGTTAGAAAATCTGCCAAGATTAGGGCTAGGAGGAAAAAGAATAGGGGAGGAAGTGATCAATTAAAAGGTGTGAGCTAGGTATCATCCTTTGTCCCTTTTCAGGTGGATAAAATGCTGACATCTGCGTAGGGGGCCTCACAAAAATGAATTCTCTGAACAGCCAGTTCCCTGATGGAGGATAGCAAGTTAGGAGGTGAAATTTTTAAAAGAGAGGGATTTGGTGAATTGGACTTATACCTTCTTCCCCCAAATCAGTGTCTGTCTGTCTCTGTCTCTTATACATGCTCGTGAGCACACACACACACACACACACACACACACACACACTCCTATTTCAAGTGCAATTTGATCCTGTCTTTTAGGGAGTTCCATCTAAATTATGTGGCCCATTCCCAATAGACCACAATCAGTTAATGAAGTTTAAGCCAGAGAAGGCATGATGCCTGCCACCATGTTAGTCCTCAGCTCTGAGGCCAGGGATACTCTTTCCCATAAGGAGGTTTAGGCATACCTTTTGAATCATGGGGTCGACAAGTTGACTGATGTTAGTAAAATCCTATCTGGATATCTGGGACAGATACAGTAAGAATTCTTCTACTCCGACAGAACATAGGATATCTTTGAAAGCCTCTGCTTTCCCATCTGGTCATTTCTCCACTCTGCTTAGTCCTTCAGACTCACCCCAGTCTTTGTATCTAGATTTGAGAATCTATCAGAATGAGTCTCCCTAGGGTAAAGACCAAGATTTCCTCCAAGGCTGCGGTTATTCTAAAGTGAAGGACCATAGGGGACCATGTCTGAGTGGCTTGGGAAGGTGAAAGGAGGAAATCGCTAAATATGGAAGGGGCTGTTAGATCTCAGCAGCTGTGCTACTATTATGCAAGGGGACTCTCAACATGTCCATGACCCAGTTTCCACTGGGTTTGAGGGTCAAGGCCACAGAGGGAAAGAACATCCTTGTTCACATGGAGTTAGGTGGAAGATTTGCTGTTTGTGTCTCAGTTGGGATAGGTATAGCTAATCGGGGCAAATATATTGTGAACATGGGTATTAAGACTTGTGCCTACATGGTCTATACCCTTCCCCAAACCATTTTTTTTTTTTGTTTTTTGGTTTTTGGGTTTTGTTTTGTTTTTGGCTAGGCAATGGGGTTAAGTGACTAGCCCAGGGTCACACAGCTAGTAAGTGTTATGCGTCTGAGGAAGGATTTGAACACAGGTCCTCTTGACTCCAGGGCAGGTGCTCTATCCACTGTGCCACCCAGCTGTCCCCCCAAACCATTTTGAACCCCAACACCTGATAAAAGCCTAAAACCTGGATTTGCGAGACATTTCGGCCCACTCTGGATTTAATCTACCATAATGCTTTGCATGCTCTGCTCCCTGAGTAATCTAAAAATGCCCCTTCCCGCATCAGCAACTACAGGACCAGATGAAGTTGACCAGCATTCTTCTGTTTATGGCCACCAGAGACAGGACACCTGGGAA